CACTTGCACAATTCCACCACCTCTTAACCAGTCTGTCTAATGTCGCTTCGTGTTTTGGTATTGATTTGCCCGGGTGCGGACTGTCCAAGTTTGAGCCTACGGATTGGAATGCATACACTGTGGAGGCTCTGTCCGAACTTTTGGCTGAAGCCATTGATCAGCACCGTGACCGGGAGTCTGGTCAGGAAGTCATCCTGGTGGGACACAGTCTCGGATGTTCCTTGTCTGCCCTCTTGGCTTCCTCGACATCGTCGATTGGCGCAAAGGTGAAAGAGCACATAATCGGCCTTGTTGCTGTGTGCCCTCGAGCCGATCCTCCATCTGCGGAAGACACTACCAAGTTTCGCCGAGCGCTCTATATTCCTAGTCTAATTTTCGATCTTTGGCGTCGCTGGGACAGACGTGGAGGCGAGCAAAGTGCTAGTGTTAGGCGGATGGTCGGCGTCGCTGCCGACGTGGAAACGCGAAACCTCCAAGTGCGCTTCAACAAGCAAAGTCGGACGCCTGTTTGGCGACGCATGGCGTGGGGCACACTTCCAACATACGATACTGACGGCCACCCGACTGGCGGTCTCCCTGGTCAACAGGTCTGGGCCGGAATTCGCATGCCGGTTCTATTGGTCGCGGGAGAGGCGGATGCTGTGACCAAACCGGTGGAGGTGCAAAAGCTTTTGAAATTCTTTGGTGATGCTTCGGCCCATACCACGATTGACACCAGCGATAGCAGCATCATCCCAGACGCTTCGCGAGTCCACGACCAGATCTCAACCCCAGTCGGCGATCGCGTCAACGAGAAAGTGCTTGGTGTGCAGATCTCCGAGAAGCATTTGGAGGCTGGCCAGCGGAAGCGAGTGGTCAAATCCGCAATTTTGCCGGCCCCAGCATCTCATGCACTGCTCTACGACCGGGCGACCTATCGTACTCTTGCAGGGATTATCCAGGATTTTCTCTCGTCAAATGTCGATAGGCGTCTCGGCCTCGGCTGGCAATTACAGCACATGAACACATCCGGAAAGTGGGATGTCAAGAACCTCGCCAAATGGAAAAAGGTTGCCCCAGTCTCGGAACGAATTGCCAACACATTTGCTGCGCTCAAGATGTTGCGCGAGGTTGATGAGGAACACAACCCTGTCACTTTCTCGGCAAAGTACCGTGGGCGCATCCACGCTGTCATAGACATCAGTCATGAAAGTCCGGTCTACAACCCGGCCGAACTGGAGAAGGGTGGGGTTCGCTACTACAAGCACCCGACTATATCCAAGATTCCTCCGACTCCAGACGAGACGCGCGATTTTATCGCTCTGGTCAATAGCATTCAAAAGGATATTGATGAGAAGATGGAGCAGCGTACGGAGGAAGAGAAGCTTCTACCACGCCCAGTCGTCGGAGTTCACTGCCACTATGGCTACAACCGCACCGGATTCATGATCGCTTGCTACTTGATCGAGCATCTTGGTTTTGGTGTGCAAGACGCCATTGACGAGTTCAACCGGTGCCGACCTCCTGGTATCCGACATGGTCATTTCATTGATACTCTATTTGTGAGGTATTGTGTTGGGCTAAAGAGAGCGCCCACGCTGTAATTGGGAATCATTGGAAATCATTCAGGCGTTGAGATCAAGGGAGTAGGAAACGGCGTACAGCTTTTAATTGTTTCAAAGTTACGAATAATGACAACTGCCATGAGATAGATTTTAATTGGTGTATAATTAGAACATGAGAAAATGACATCGTTCCGGGAATTCTTCAAATAATCTTTCATCCATCACCAAGTACTCCATGTCAAATAATTCCTAAGGTCATGTCTTCCGAGGATATATTAATGCCTGTAACATCAGGCACCAAGGGTTTGATGTGGGGCCTTAGTTATCAGGCACAAATTGGGCCACATCACATGACCCAGCTTAGGGTACGGCTAACCCAAAATGGACAAGCGAACGGCACACAGACCCAACCCGCCCAGAGTTGTGTGTGTCTTGAAATTTTGAGCGACTCTTCGACTTCGACCTGCCCACCTCGACGCCCAACGCCTCTCTCTCTCTAATCCCTACCCTTCGACCCCTCGACAAGTCGCCAAAATGGGTGGTGTTACCGTTCGCGATGTGGACGTAAGTGTCCTGCTCGGTTTTAGGTGATCGGCCAGCTCTGGTTTGCGTGATGTGGACGGTTCGTTTCTGGATGCACGGATATCACAACATCGGTCGGATCATATCGCCAAGATGGAAATGCGTCGGATTACACACGCAATAGGCGAATGGTTTCATTGCCTATAGGAAATACGTCGAATATTGAAGGATGTGCATGCATGTTTTGAGGGGCGAATATTTGATGGTATATCTATCTATCTGTCGGTATTCGCCCTGGAATACTTGATATAACGACTGCATACTAGCGAAACACTCCATACGACGAATGATGAAATGCTTCCAGAAACGAATCCGCCACATCTGCAAATCCACAGACTTTTGGCCGATCCACGCATACCTTGATGAGCCACAACTAACATATAACTTTTCTCCCCCACACAGGCGCAGAAGTTCATCTCTGCCTACTCTGCTTTCCTGAAGCGTCAGGGAAAGCTCCCCATCCCCGGATGGGTTGACACTGTCAAGACCTCTGCTTCCAACGAGCTTCCTCCCCAGGATGCTGACTGGTACGACCGCATCAAATATCAAACCGCGAAATTTCGAACAATCCATTGACATTCTTGCTTTTTTTAAAGGTTCTACGTCCGCGCCGCCGCCTGTGCCCGTCACATCTACATGCGCAAGACCGTCGGTGTCGGCCGTCTCCGCAAGGTCCACGGTTCCACCAAGAACCGTGGCTCCCGCCCCGCCCACCACGTCGATGCCTCCGGCTCCGTCGACCGCAAGGCCCTCCAGGCTCTTGAGAAGATCGGTGTCCTTGAGACCGATGAGGAGAAGGGTGGCCGCCGCATCACCCAGAGTGGCCAGCGTGATTTGGACCGTATCGCCAAGACCACCGTCGATGAGGAGGAGTCGGATGAGGAATAAACGTATCGCAATGGGCTTTTAATAGTTCGGGGATAAGTCGTTTGTTTTTGTGGTTTTGTCTTCGCTACGGCGGCAAGATATTGGAAATGACGGCACAAAAATAAAAATTCGGAGCTTGCGGTCCCGTGCGCGACTTTACGTTTGTTTCTTTTTTCTTGTTCCACTCCATATTTTTTTTTCTGACGACCAGACGGGGCTACTAGCGGAGAGAGATATGGGCGGTGCAGAGTGCATGAGGATGAGGCATCATTATCCGGAGACTTGAACGAGAGAAGAGAGCGGACGAGACGTTCTACACAATCCTTCCCCTCTCTCTCTTGTCGAGGGGAGGGGATCTTTTTCCCTGACATGTTTTTTTTTATGATCTCCCTCACCTCTTTGACCCCGATCAACCCTACGGCGTCTTTGTCCCTTTTTTTCTCTCGTGGTCTCCTGGAAATAAAGAGCATGTCTAAACACTTCAAAACTGTTCCGTCCCCTCTCTGTGTTGTAGGTGTAGATGTAGACGTCTGATATTATTTAGCTACCATCAGATCCTCAGCCGCCCTACACAGATCGACGTGCACCAAAAGCAAAATCAATTTATATCGAATTATTGCCATTGAATTTAATGCAACTCTGTTCTTACTGTTCTTATGTATGTACAACAGAAGTCTTATGTTAGCTCGCATTTCAATCTTCTTTCTTCATTTCTTTCCCGACTGGGCCGCGGTATCCTAGAAGACAATCAATCAGCAAAGAAGCCACCTTACAGCAGCACGATATACTCACCAAGTAAACCTGATAAAACTGCATTTTAATATCCTCGTCCCCCTTCTGGGGCGCAAACACAACCCGTCCAGCCCAAGGCACATAAACATCATTATCGGGGTTAGCCTTGAGTCTATAGTTCACGCCACCGTACAACATGATCTCATCATCGCCGCTGAAGTAGATCTGCGTCGGCGTGTGTCGGCGCGAAGCAACGTGTGTCCAGAGGCCGTGGCGGAGGGGGGAGAATTTCTATTATGTAGTTGGTTTTGTTAGCTGGAGTATAACCCAATGTTGATGTATATTCTGGAATATAAATCGGGTTCGGATTTGGCTATATAGCTTCCTTCACCAATGTTAAGGGTAGGAATCGGATAGCACCATACCGCTTGCACCCTTAGCCTCCTTAGGTCCCATAATGAGCGTCGCATCTTCAGTAAAGCTCTGGACATATTTATCATGCAGGGACTCGGTGTCGCTGGTGCGGTAGAAGTCTTCCATAAATGCGACGAGCGCGGCGCCGCGGGGTGGTGCGCGGGTAGTGTCGTAGGCGATTTGGTAGGACATTTTGGTTTTCTGGGTTAAGGAGGAATGTTTACAAGTAGAAAAAAGAAATAATGAGACGATCTCCGGTACTTGCAGGATATGTCTTTCATGAGGGGGAACATCGGAAGGGACGCATCCGATCTTATCAACGACCATATAGAGCGAAGTTTTTCATTCTAACTTTTTATATAGACCAATAGACATGTTATTAGACTTATACCAAGGCTAAATATAGATACTGGTACATGTGAGGTCCTGCTATATCTAAAAAAGCACATGGCCTACATAGTACTCGAAGTCGCATGTTGTTGTACTTCGGAATCGTATCGGATGTGGACACCCCCACAAATATAGCCCTGATAGTCACCAATTTAGTGGTTTGTATATTATATTATCTCGGTAGCTTAAGGGAAAGCCTTTATGACATTTATGGATTCGATACATCTTATGTCCTTTGAAATAAGCGTGCTTTCAGTATAATGCTTATACTTTAACAATGTTGCCTGATATATTTATTCTCTTCCTAGGTAATATCACAATACAAGGGCTTAATTGACGGGGCTGGAAAAGAACCACTGATTATTTCAGTTGAGAAGAGTGAGAAAAAAGAGAGAGGAAAATGCTGGCAAAAGAGAAAAAGGAGGCATACAGGTCTTCCTTGACATATACACATATTCTCCTCCAAGCAGATCATACATCGCGTGGAATAGGTCTCTCCTTGGGCAATTCACCACTCATGTAATCATTTTGAAGCGCTTCACTATAAGGGGTCCGTTCATAGATGTAACCCCCCCCCTTGTTCCCTTTCCAGTTGCGTACTCATCACTATTCCAATGGCGCCCTCTGAGTCACCCTGCGCCTGCCACCATCGCCAATCCTCTCCAGGGTGGTATTGTCTGCGGAATCTGGTATGACCAAAGTCGATCATAGTCAATTTGAACTTGTATTCGGAATCCAAAGTGTTGGTTGGATCACGTTGCACGATAAAGGACCTTTCTTGCGTATCGTTATTGATTATCCCATGGCTCATGATATTGTTGACAATCTCGATAGCTTTGTCAATAACTGGCTGTCATTCTTTCCTGGGGACATTCTCGGCGATATAAGGCCGTGGAAATCCTTCGATGTATTCTATAAGAATTCCAGGATGTTCGAAATACCGACTGATGGGCTGATCTTGGGTGTATGTCGGCCCCAGAATTTTGGTATGTGCAAACATCCGGGGAACTTGAATGCCCTGCAGATCTTTCATCGTTTCATATGCTTCGACCTCAGATTCGTACCGGATCTGCCCGAAGAAACAGAGATCTAGCTCATTGCCTAAGTAGTTCCATTCCGCTTCTTCATTCTCAGATTTCCCTGCATCCTCAACCGCTGGATCGAGATTGTTGGGCTGTTGTTCCTCAGTAGTTTCATGGGTTTGGGTAGAGTTGTTTCCACTGACTTCATCATCTCCGTTGATCTCTTGGGTTTCAATATCGATAATCTTATGATGTCTCCAGGGAAATACCGCAATGACTCCAGTGTGAAAAAGGCGAGTGGCGCAAATCAGACCCCGGGAAGCCATCTTATATTCATGTGAGAAGAGAGAGAAGAGACCGGTAGAGAGAATGGAAAGCTTGAAGAAGGGGCCTTTGGAGTTGGCATCATCAATTCTCATTGGTGTAGTCATTTTCATTGGCGCCTTCCTGCTCACGGGTGTTCTGTTGGTTCTGTTCCTCGTCGGTATCTTCCTCGATGATCGTTGGCATAAAATAGTTCTCTTTTTCTCTTTACAAAACTTTTCATGCTTGATTGCAAACTTTATTCCCTCATCTGAAAAAAGGTACTCATAAAGATCTCTCTCAATTTCTGGAGTTCAAGGATCCGTTCCCCGGTAAGTTCGTTGTTCCGTTGAAAACCGCCGATCATAAACCTTCAGGACCACATTTCCCTCTATGCCTAGAGCAGAAAGATCGGAGTCAAACGAAAGGACCATGGCACATGCATTGGTCCAGGGTTCAAAGGTTTTAACGATTGTGGCTTGAACTGGGCGACTCTCCAGCTGGAGCATAATCTTGTTGCCGACCACATATGGGCATCTGAAACTGTTAGGATAAAGACTGCAAAAACCCAGTTGTCACTTACTCGATCATGACATTCATTATCTTGAAGTCTTCTTCTATGACAAAACAAAGGTAAAGCCCTACAACGGTGGAACTAGGCGTCCAGGTGGAATAGAAGTGAAAACACAGTGAGAACAACTGGGAACAATTCGAAAGAGGGTAAGCACAGAGTACAAATATTTCACAATACAAAGAGCCAAAAGAATGCCAAAAATAGAGGGGCAAAGCACAAGAATATGAATGAAAAGCTTTCTTTCATGCAGAATGCCGTGCCAACAGCCAGTCTAATGACACTTCCCACACACATGACCCTAAGGATAATAAAATACTCTTTTAATTAAGAGTCATACATTAGTACTTCTATCTCTGGTTTTCTTTGCCTGTCCAGATTTCTAATTATGTGATATCCCGAAGGAGATGAGGAGGGTATTGAAACACCGAAAGGGAAAACGTCCAAAGGACCCTAGAAGCCAAAAGTCTCTGTTCCCATTTAGGGTGTTGGCAGAACTATTAGCTTTGTAAATGGAGAATTCAACTCCAAATTGGACTACGATACCCATGATGTCTCTCGCTATGAAACTTGTAGTATATAGCATGTACTCTTTTCCAGGATTCCGCTTCAACTAACTGCCGACTTAGACTTACATCATTTATTACGTTCAAGGGATGGATGGAAACTTTGTTTCTATGATTTAATTTTGCTTAGGAGCGAAAGGACGATATTTTGTTTGGTGATAGAGGCGAGAAGTCAAGGCTTTGATTGGTATATAAATGGGGACACAAGCGAAAGTACGAGAAACAAAGGACAAAAGAAATAGTTCACACTTAGATAAAATACCAAATATCCTGTCAAAGGAAGATGTTGTAGTCAGTGTAATTTGGGGAACTACCCAAAACTAGATCCAAATCATCATCCACTACACCCGGGGTTGAAAGCGAGCCCTAAAAGTGGTTGCAAAACTAGACTGCTGATTCTTGAGAAAGACCTCTATATTCAAACTTGTAGACTGGGTTGTTCTACTTACCGATCTTGCCGAGTTCAATTGCAATGATATCGATAACTTCCCGTGGGGTAGGAGGGTCGGTCGAACCGTTCTTATTCGGGCTACCCGGCATAGTGAAGTTTAACACAGGCTCCCCTTCGTGCAAAAGCAGAATCCGGTACTCTGGTGGCTGAGTACTTGTCTTCATGCTCTTCAAGATATAGGCACCACGAAATGACGCCTTGTTATCGCCGTGGGCCTGGGTCCACTTACCTTTGTCCCAAATGCAACTCAAATGTTGTGGCTTTATATTAACCAAATAGTCCCTCACAGTACCATTAACCCCACGAATTTGATTGCCTCCCTTTCCAGTCATCTCGAAAGAAAAGGATGATCTCTGTAAGATGTATATAGTGAATAATGAGTGCAGTCAAGGTAGATCAAGATGAGATCGAATGGTTTGAGTCTCCTCATTGAGACGGACCATCATGGTTTTTATACTGTAGCAAACAGCTATCCAGGAGACGGTTTAAACTATCCGACACAAAGAGATACCTATATAATAAAGAGACCACAAAGGGTTTCTATCTACAAATATCATGTTCGAGCACTATCAAAGACACTATAAAGGAATTGAAGTCAAGGGGACTGGGGAAAAGAATTCTAAAACGACCTTTTAAACGGGACTGTCAATGGAAATCTCTCACACTAAAGGACCGAAGAGACTTTCATATTGGTCCTGAAAAAGTCTTTATGAGATAAATTCAAGTTTCGTGTGGAATAGATCTTGGTGCGCACGTTGTCATTATCGAATCCATCTATGATCTAGGCTCAAGGGAGCTAGAAGATGCAGAGCCCCTTGTCTATACCCAAAAGACTAATAGGTTTTGTTCAATCCTAAGATTTGAAGTAGTCCAAAGATAACTTCAACGCACGACATTGTTCCAAATCATCCAAATCCCTCATCTTTGAGGGCCACTGAAGCAGCCGAAGCTGACTTTCTTTGCCAAACGGCTGCCATATCCCAGTTAATTCAATTTCCCGAGTTGTATTATCATATCCTCTTGCCTTCAAAAAGGCCAGGTCAGGGGTAGGTTTGGCCGCCCTCGCAAAACTCGCCCAAGAATCCAACACATACTGCCCAAAAGGTAGATCGAACTGATCACGGAACGGCAGACCCTGACGACGGAAACTTCCAAACACGTAGAACAACTCGCCGGAATGACATTTAAAGTACTCTTCTCTGGGATTACCATTCGGGAACTCATCTGTGATAGGAGCGTTGCATACCGGGGCATTGGGCGACCAGCCGGGCATTTGGTATGAACGGTTGAACTCGTAATAGAATATATCGGGGAATATATGTGTCCTTGAGCCTGTGTGTGCAGTTGCTTCGTCGATGCAGCGGAACATTCCATCTGTAGCTATGCGAGAGGAGGTGTTGAAGATATCGAGTGTAGCGTTGGCGGTTGATGGCACAGGGAATAGTTGGCTTGGTGCAACTGAGTCAGGTAAGCCGGATTCATTGAGGAAGGACTTCAGAGTTTGTCCCAATTCAGGATAGCCAATCATGGCAGCACCATCGTCTCTCATAGTACCGATCATTAAAGGCACATTGGCGGTCGATGACGGGTTTGTTAAATCCAGTTCCGAGTTTCGGAGGTAGACACCATCAACAACCAGATACCGTGCCGAATCAGCGAGATTTGCAATAGTCGATGCGGGGAGTTGTCTCAAACATTCGACTGGTGAAGCAGCATCCGTGCAGTTTGTCTCGTTGAGAATAGAATTCCCCACAACGTTCATTTCTTGCGCGATGGTATAGTATTTCGAGTAGGTTGTGCCATAAGCCAAGCCACCAAGATTACTCTGCATAATCGCACCAGCGAATTTACCTTGTGCTGCAGGAGAAGCAAGTAATGCCCGTACTGAGGCTGCACCAGCCGATTGGCCAAAGATAGTTACCCTTTCCGGATCACCGCCGAAATCCTGGATGTTCCGACGAACCCACTCCAGGGCGGTGGTTTGGTCTGCCAATCCGTAGTTCCCGTTGGTTTCGCCATCATCTAGTGCGAGGAATCCCAATGTTCCCAGGCGGTAATTTATCGTAACGACCACAACATCACCTCTCGAGGCTAGATTGCCACCGTCAAACGTCGGATCACTGCCGGTGCCGCCGGTGAAAGCTCCACCGTGGATCCAAAGCATGACAGGTTTGAGACGGCTATTTTGAACTTTGGTGTTCTTGGGGAGATATGGAGTCCAGACATTGAGGAACAAGCAGTCTTCCGAACCAGTTGTGCCTTGTGTGCAGTCAGAGCCATAGTCAAGAGCAGAAGCCTTCTTTCCAGTCCCTTGATATACTTGAGAATAGTCCCATCGCCGGGGTTGTTTAGCATATCGAATTCCCAGAAAGCGGAAACTGAATCGATCCCGGAATCTATATTTTGTTAGGATAGGCTGCGAGGCTCCAGGGAAATACTAGGTCCTACCCAGTGAGATATTCATCGTTGGAATGGACAGTCACCTGCCACTGAGCACTTGTATTTTGGAATGTACTGCTAGAAAGCGGAGCACTTTGTGTACAAATAACAGGCAGTTTTTCGTCCGCAGAGGCTTTATTGACCCGACCAGTTGTGTCGATGGTCGACGGTTTGCGGTGGTCCGAGGCAGTCCAAAAACGTTGGTTGCGAGTGTATTTACCTTGGAATACAAGGTAGTCCAAGTCACTTTGGATATTTCTATAACTAGAATTAGTCCCCCACAGAGACTCTCCAAGTTTTTGACAGCTATCAGTGGCTTCTTGCCATGATCTCGCATCGAGCACCAGAATCCCCGAACCTGATAGAGGACTTTCGGTTTCTGTTTCAACGGTCATTGTTTGATTCCAGATTCCGATTTCGGGGGATATGTAATATGCATACCTAGCAGATCATTGTGAATGAGAATGGAAATATCAGAGTCCAATGACTTGGGGCTCACTGCTGCGTTTGCGATGATTGCCAAACAGAGGAATGCAAAATAGTAGACCATTATGGTCAAGTATGCGAATGCGATGAACCCCCAAAAAATAGCCCCTAAACCGCCGGAAAATAACCTGTCTTCTTATTTATCTTTGCTTTTTTCCCCCTGATTATCCAGTTTAATAATTTTGTATTTAGGCAATTGCACCCCCGCGTCGGGAAAATAGCCTTAACAGAATAGGGGAAGATGTCCAATTTATCCGATTGTAAGAGTGTTTTAACCTCACTTATTCAACATTGTGGTTTAATAGGAATTAAAGCTTGTTTTGCCTAAAATCGTAGCAAAATAATATGTGTACATAATAGTGAAGGCATCTGCAATCCCCCGCACTGGCAGGGATTTTCCCCACGAAGGTCCGAACACATAAGCATCACATCAGCGTATAGGACAACATCTCACAGAGACCGTAGACATCGCTCAAGTCGATGTTTCATACTTTCATACTACAGTCATGGCCGACTCAACGCGATCAACGGACAGTAGACCACCTCCACCCCCACCTCCCCCAGAGAATCCTCGCTCAAAAATATCATCCACAGTCCTAAAGATGCGAAGGACATCTCCCAGCCACTTCTTTCAATCCCAAGTTCCCCGACCTCAATCCCAAGGTCCTCCTCCAACAGGACCATACTTCTTCTACGGCTCACTCCAAGATAAAAGTCTACTCATAGATCTGTTAGACCTCAAACAGGCATCCCACCTGCGACCTGCGTACATTGAGGGCTACAAGTGCAAACTTTGGGGCCCCTATCCGGCCTTACTATCTGGTGATCCCGGGGATACCGTCAGAGGGGCTGTGTACGAGGTACCGACAATTGAGGACGCAGAGAAATTGGCGGCTTATGAGGGCCCTAACTACACAACTATTGCTTGCTCAATTCGGTATGCGGATGGCCAATCTCCCACACAGGCAGAAGGGTACGCGTTTCTCTTCGTGGGGAATATGCGTGATCTGAGTGAGGGATCTTTTGATTTGAAGATTTGGTCGGAGAGGAGGGCATTGCGAAGAAAGAAATGAAGAAGGAGATGTGGGGTGGGCTCATACTTCGGAGTCCGAGACGGGAAGTTATAGAATGTACGATGCACATATACAGCGCAGAGTCGAAACGCCCTTTCTGCTTATCACTTTTAATCTGAGTCAGATTGTTGACTAAATATCGTCTGACTACCTGTAAGCAACAAATTTCAGAGGAAGCATGACCAAAATATAGTATCGCATGACCAAAATGTGGTTATCTGCAAAATCAAGTTGATTTCGAACATCGCGGGGTAAAATAGGATAAGCGCACCAGGAACCGACCAAGGCACAGAGAACTCGGGCGACCAACAGGAGAGCAAGTAAAACCCTCGGTGCACCACTGAGGGGTTAGAATTGTATAGAATGGTGGAATGACATAGAAGGTGACATGCAGGGCTAGTTCGTTCGTCACCCGCATCTACTTCCCGCACAATGGGAGGGGGGAAAGGGGAATTGATGGCCTAATTGAGCAAGCCCACAATTTCCAGCACACAGACCCTACTAAACCCACAAGTCAACAGGTGTACAGGTGTACAAGTGGCTTGTATGTCGTACATGGACCTCGCACTAGGTGCATTCCTCGGATGTATTCGTACGGGGCAACGGGGGCTTGGGCTTCTCAGACAGGTGTCAACTATGCAGCATTACATTCCAAGAAGATAAAGGCGAATGTGGACAGCATATTCGGGATTGTAAGGGTGAGTTCAATGTCGTGTTGTAGTTTAGGGATGAATTACGTATACTGCTTGGGATGCATATACAACGCAGAATATACAACGCACAGTATATGCAGATGTATAGAATAATCGAATAAAATAGCAAATGCCCAATTCCAAGAAATGTCACTGGTACAAGTGACGTCAAGCGGCCAGAGCCCAGATTATAGTGGGACCCGAGGGAAAGTGGATGTACCTGATACATTGCATGCTTACTCCGTACATGCTTACCCTATTACTTTATGTTGGACTTACGAAAGTACTCCGTAGTTACACAATAGAGGGGCAATTCTTGATCGGAAACAGACATCGAAATAAGAATGACATGTACATTATGAATGAGTGTCCATGGGTACAAGTGATAGATGTTCCTTTAAAATGGTCCACGTGCCCTGAACGATGGTTATCAGCCGATGATAGGAGAAAATAGGGTTACGCCCTGGAGCGCTGCAAGCGTTCATTAAAGGCGCACGAGCACTGGGGATCACCATGACTGGCCGATAACAACTTGGCATGAGGGGTTTTTTATTTCACTATTACTCAGATATCTTTGGACCAGTGGGGGTTACAATCTGGATTGCCTTGATCGACTCAGGGATAGTTACGGAGTGTGAACATGAAAGAAGATGAGTATGTAGTTATATAGTTAGAAAGGGTTAGATAATAGGGCATAACTATATAGGTAATGAATATGAATATGCTAGAAACTAGAAAAAAGAATACAGAGTAATAGAGGGTAATAATGTCGTAGTTTAATAGTAAACAGTTCACAGAGTATAGAAAGCCGAAAGCACCCGGTGTGTCCCACGAGGCGCCAATCAATTCACCCACGCGCTTTCCTGATTCCCATACTTGGGCCATTCCTAGTAAGAGTACAAAGGTCTAAGTCACTTCCAGGGAGTCACACTTATCTTTCTCCCTCTTCCTCTTCTCCCCAATACTCTGTGGACAACTCTTCGGCCCTTCCCCTTGGAATCTACTCTTATCGCGACTATCTATCTCCCCTTGCCGCGTCGCATCCCCCTACGTGGATCCCCCAAGCCCTAAACAAAGTTGGCCCTTCGCTACACGGAGTGTCTCTTTGTCCACTGTGTGTGAAAGGTGAGTTCTTTTGTTTTAAACTCTGACTTTCTTTCACTCTGAAACTATTCTGTTGCCACCCGATCCTTCCGTGGTACCTTCCTTTGTCGCGTATTAGAAGGTCGTCTGACTCATATACCCCCGGCTTGCGCGTTCTAGGTTCTTCTCCTTTCACAACTCCATCTATCCATCATGGCTTTCCAGACAAACTCCAGCATTGCAATGGCTCTTGCTGGCAAGACTGCTTCGGTTGATATCCCTCAGCGCCGTTCTGGCCTGAGTGGCGGCCGTGTGCCTGCGATGCTGCCCACGCCACCCAACTCTATTTCCCCGACCCTTCCTCCCCAGACCTACAAGCACCGAGCGACACGGTCGCCAGGATCGCCGCTATCGACTGTTCCCCAGTTGGACTCCGATATCGATCTCGAGGATGCGGAAAACGCCAACGGTCATCACGTCTCCCTGCCTGTCGATGACCTCGACAGTACCGGCGCGATTACCCCTGCCATGCTCTCCAAATATCATCTCCCGGAGATCTTGCTTGAGCAGGGCCCCTTGGCCATTCGCCACGTTATGGGTCATTTGACAGCCTCGGTCCCTGGCTTTTCGCATATTCCCCCAGCCAAGGCGCGCAGACTGGTTGTCGCGGCGTTGGAGGGTCGAGGAAATGGAGGAGAGGCGGGTGGTGTCCAGGGCGACGTGGTGTTCGAGAAGATTGGTTGGGGCCGCTGGGACGCGCGACGTCGCGGTGAACCTGCTCACGATCGTGATTTGAACGCTTCATCGTCGCCTCCCTCGAGTGTTGCAGGTTCGTTCCAGCAGCGTGGCCTACAGATCCAGGGCCAGTCCAGTTGGCAGGGTGGCAACCGTCATCCATACCGGATGAGCTTTGCCGAATCTACGGCCTTCTCGTACACCGACGATTATGGCATGCACGGCGACCTCGACATGCTGGAACATGAGGCCGACAAGATGTCTCTTGATGGTGATGACGGCGAGTATTGTTCTTCCTCAGAGGCTCCCGATGAGATGCAAGAAAACGAGTGGGTTGAAGGCGATGACACCGATGAGGAGGACTGGGCACAAATTGGCGCCGACGCTTTGCGCGCCCGTTCGATGAACAATAACGGCAGTTTCATCAACGGCCACGTCGCTGCGCGCGCAAAGCCTCAGCCATCTGGGATTTTCCCCGCCACCTGTCCATCTGTGGCTAAATTGCCACCCCGCACCTTTGACATCCAGGAACGCGCCGCTGTGGAGGCGCTCCTCCGCCTGGGCTCCATGTAAAGCCCCACTCTCATCATGATCGGCGTTTATTTCTTTCTACTCTTTTCTTTCTACTCTTTGCGGGATACACTATTTTTCTTCTCATTCAAGGCCGTCGAAGCTGGTCTGGACCGCTTTCGGCGTGCCATGGCTTTTCGGCAATTCCCAAAAAAATTCCAAAGCCAGGAAACTCGGCTAGTTTGCAGTGCAACTACCTCGATATGGGCGTTGGGTTGGACCTTTGTGGTATTGGGTTTCCAAGATGGCGTTCAAGTGTTCACTTTTCTGTTATGCCTGACACGAAACAACTTGTCATGACGATTCAGGGTAGCAGTCCCGTCGCTGCTACCACTATGACAACTCCAAATACCCCTTTTCTTCTCCGCTCTCTTTATTTTTTATTTTTTTTTACGTGGGTTTACTCACAGTACAACTGTCTGTCACCTACTCATTCTGGCGTTTATCTTTGCATTAGTCGAGTCAGCTACCACTGCTACAAGACTCGTGTTCTTTTCTCTTTTTCTCTTTCATACTACGGACTTTTCTAATACTCTACTTGGTCTCTTTTTTTTTTTTATGGGCTTTCGATTTCAACAACTCCCAATCATCCTCGGAAGATCTCAGCCATCTGGTGTGAGGTTCTGGTCGTCTTTATTGATTGCACTGGCCCTTCCAACTTGTATGGAATCTCAGTCATCTTCACTGATCCAACTGAGAAGTGGTCTTCTTTCTTTGTTTGTCTCCTTCTCTGTGTCTATTTTTCTGTGTTCTCTTTGTGTGCTCTACGCATAGTCTGTTGTACATTGCAGGTTCATCATCCTTGCATTGCCCTGGGGGTTTCGGCTTCGGTTTTCGAGGCTGAATACTTAACGCTTTTCGGCCGGGGATGGGATGAAAATACATAGTCACTTAGTTTTAGAAACTTAACGCGTTGCAAATGCTGCGTGGTTCAGTGATCATCTTCTTCTTTTCGCTTGTAACCTAAGTATCCTAGTAGGTAGTTAGAACTCTATACTTATCTAACGAATCCACACTGCTATACTCCAAAGCCACCAGTCCTCATCTTCAAGATGCAAGTCCAAACAAAGCATTGGTATTAAAAGATATTGTCCAAACCAAACTCCAAATAAAGTACAAACCCCGAATCCATAACCTAATCCAATACTCCCATCATACCCCAAATATCCTACCTGATACACAGAAAAGTCCAACCCGCCGCGTGCAAACCGTCGACCAACAAATCCATAATAAAACAAAATCCAACTTTCCTAACCCCCCAATAAACCCAACCGTACCCCAACCTGCTAATCATGAACATCATTAATCTTCTTCCAAACCTCCTTCTCAACCTCCGCCAACTTATTCCCAGACCACCTCATCCACCCCTTCGCCGCACCAATAAACCCCTCCTCCTCTTCGGGGAAAATACTATCCGCCCCACCCCCAGACCCGGTACCAGCACCAGCACCGTAATGCAGCGGCAGATTCTGCGTCTGCGGACGAGCGTATGATCCCGCCTGCGTCTGGTACACAGACGAATAAGGCGAGGAGGTCGAGTTCGGTGATACAGTCTGCGCACCCAGAGTTGGCGTGTTGTAGGAGTAAGATTGTGCGTAGCTTTGGGTTGGCTGCGCTGCTTGTATTGGTGGTTGGGAGATGGTCTCGCCGGCTTTGGGGGGTGGAGGGATTGGGGAGGAGGATTGAGCTGGTGCTCCTGCTCCTACTCCTCCTGTGTATGCTGTTGATGGTGATGGGGTGGCACCCGGTTGGGGTGCGGGTGGAGTCTGGGTTGTGGATGTTGCTGTCTCGGGAAGGGAGGTTGTTGGTGGTGGTGGTTGTTCCACCGCGGCTGTGGCCGTTGGGGTGGGTTGCACTGCTGTGGCGCCTGGTTGGGGTGGTGCTGGTTCTGAGGGGATGGGCTCGGCGGTTGTGGTGATTGAAGGGTTGGAGGGGGCTGTAACTGTTGCTGTTGTTGTTGCGTGTACTGGTTGAGGTTGTGAGGGTGCGCTTGCTAGTGACTCGATTGCGGTGGCGGGTTCGGGCTGTGAGGTTGTTGCGTGGGTGCCTTCTTCCTCCTGGTTGGAGTTGACGGGCGCTGAGTTGTAGGTTTGGATTCCTGTTGGAGCAGACATTTTGGATGTTGGTGAACAGATATGGGGTAAATGGGAGGCTCAAGTGTGAACCGGAATGAAGAGGCTTTTGTAGCTTCAAGGAGCTTAGACGTCATGGTTATTGCCGCTGTGGATCCTTTCCGCTTTAGGACGCCTTGTCTTTTCTTTTTCATTTTTTGGCTGTTGCCTGTGCTTCAGTGAGGTTGGTTTGAAATATTGACTGAAATTGTATTGGATTTAATGGTTGACCATTTGCCAGCCGCTGTTTCGAGCTAAATGCAGACAACATATAAACCCGACATAGGTCAAATAATGATAAAGAGAAGAGAGAACATTCTTAACCCCTTGGGATCTGTACGATTGTTTACTTTTTACGATGCTTACGAGGATCAAGTTGAAAAAACGAAAAAAGAGTTTGCAGGCAGTAAAGTACATTGGGTACAAAAAGGAAAGAATCAACCATTCTATGCTTCAAGATCCTTCAGACCCATTTCTTGACGCATCTATCTTTTGACCATCCCACATCCTCGAATTCCACGCCCAGTGGTTACACCGGGGGAGGTATGCGTCCCCTATTCCAGTATAACTACAGTGGCAAGAGACTCACATTTTCAGTGAATCGCTTAGAACTTCTTGCCGAGGAGGAGGAGCTGAGCCTTGTCGTAGATGGACAGGACACCAGCACCGGCAACACCACGGAGGATGTTAGCACCAGCACCCTTGAAGAGAGACTTGACACCCTCCTTGGCGATGATCTGGCGGGCAGCATCCATGGAGCTGGAGTACTTGACGGCCTCACCGGAGGTCATCATCATGCGGCGGCGAACGGTGTCAAGAGGGTAAGAGGCAACACCGGCACCGGTGGTGACGGTCCAGCCGAGCAGGAAGGAGGCGAGGAAAGAGCCCTCAAGAGGACCAACGAGGAGAACGGGCTTGATGGAATCGTACATTCCGAAGTAGAGACCACGGTAGACGACAATTCCGAGAACGGAGGGACCGAAGCCACGGTAGAGACCGGCAATACCGTCGGAGGCGAGGGTCTTGCGGTAGACATCGACGAGACCGTTGAACTGGCGCTCACCGGAGCCCTTGGAGGACTTGGCATCGTTGGCCAGACGGGTACGGGCGTAGTCCAGGGAGTAGACGAAGAGGAGGGAAGTGGCACCAGCGGCCTAAATGTCTTGTTAGCTGTGGTCCCAGACTGAGAGTATTTTCAGAGATACATACACCACCGGAGGCAAGGTTACCCATCATCCACTTGCCGTATCCATCACGGTCCTTCTTGTAGGCGAACATGGACTTGTAGGTGTCACGGAAAGCGAAGTTAAGAGCCTGGGTAGGGAAGTAACGGATGACGTTGGCAGTGTTACCACGCCACAAGGAGACGACACCCTCAGCGGCGGCGGTGCGCTTGAAGCAGTCGGCAATACCGTTGTACTTGCGGTCGAGACGACCCTGCTTGAGCATCTCATCCTATTGATCGAGTCTGATTAGATGCTGAATTGGTGGAAATACTGACGAGCCGACTGGCACGGGCCAAGGGAGAAAATTTTTCACAGGCTGTGATAGATGCGAAAACACAGCTCGTGTCAAATGTTTCATTCCACACTCAATTGCAAATCACAACCAAGCGTGATCTTCTGCCTTCGGCCCATTCCAATCGGTGTTAGACGGGTGGTAACCAACCTGGTTCTGGATGAGGAGCTTGATACGCTCGATGGGGGCAGCGGCGGTCTTGGAGACAGCGGCGGAGACACCACCCACTAATAGACAGTTAGTATTGAGATCGGAGACGTTATTGAAGTTTGCAATTGCTAATAATCGCAAGCATCAAGCGTGACACGTACTCAGGAAGTCGACAACGAAGCCCTGTGAAAAGTTTGTTAGCATTGTTGCTCAGCTCAATTCACATTGAGATAGCGATGAGCGACACTTGAAATCACGTTTTGAAGCAAGTTCGATGATAATTTGATGCTTGACATCTCATCGCTTTGAATCTTCACGCGACATCGAGGCCAGCTCTCACAAGCTCGCAGGGAGACACTTACGGGCATGCCGAGGACGGACTTGTCGGCCTGGTTAACATCACCGGAACCCATTTTGAAGATAGTGCAAAAGAAACGGGATGCAAAAAAAAAAAAGAGAGGAGATGGAAAGAGTGTCAAGAAGAAAGAGACACCAGGGATAATGAGGAAGAAAAAGGAAGAGAGAAGGCGGGAAGGGGGGGCCAGAAAAAAAATACTCGACCGCCGGGCGCTAAGACCCAATCAGGAAGCCCAGGGGGTTTTATTACTGTAAGTTACGGTTATTATGTTGTATTGGTTTGCCTCTTGCCGATATCTCCCGATCCACTGAAAATTCTGCAATCTGGCCTGGTCTTTGATATTGGGCCTGGGCAAGTGCTATGGGCGTATGGGGGTCTTTTTGAAACTGTTAAAGGGACCACTCTGCCCCTATCTAAAATACAGCACTTGATAAATTCACTTTTGTTTTCTTTATAAAATCAATCAATATCTACACTTTTCATTATGATCATCGACATCCTGTAGTCCCGAGCAACGGCCCAAGCGCCGGTGCATATTACCGTAGGGGTACGGTGTATATTTCCCTGTCCAATACCGGGCCTCCACTCCCCGGGGCAACCTCCTTTTTGCTGGCCGGGTATCCGATGGCGAACCGGGCATAAAAATTATATCTCGGACTTGCCACCGACGTCGCTATTCCCTTTTAGCCTTGCATTCTGGGGTTAAACGATTTCGAACGTACCGCTCTTGATTAGTTGTTCGAACTTGAACTCAAAGCACCCGATGTTTCCTTTGTAATTTGTACGAATGTGTACGGAGTAGCTTTTGTTTGCCTCGGGCGAGTGGATTCTCCCCAGGTCTCCTCGGCCCCCTACACTAAGCATCTTATTTCTTATTTTCGATTCATAGTTGTAGGAATCTAGGTCATTGTGGTATAAACAACTCAATTGAGCAAATGTGATCCCTCCCAATTCCGGTAATAAGACACTACGATATGTGAGGGATACCTGAACTTGATATGAGACATTTTTTTTCCTTGCTACTATTTTCGTGTCGCGGGTACAAACTTTAAGGTGATAGATCGCCGCATGGACGATGTACCTGGGTACTTCACATGTTAATGCCAGGTATTAATGCCAGGTACCCAATAGCACAGTGTGTACAACACTTGGCTCCACTTTCCTCGGCCCTCTAGGAAATTATCTTATACAGAGTACGGAGTACACCATACACCGTACCTTCAATCCATTTAACCGCCCAGGTCATAATAGCAATATTTGGAGCTTCCTTTAGCTTGGAATCAAAACATCCCGAGGTTCGCCCCAGCAACCGCTAGCGCCTGAGTGGGCCCGCATCGCATGGTAGCTTTCCGCTTTGGGAGCTATGGAGTCCTACAGGTATGTATGGGAGCCTGAAAGCAGACAAAGCGGGAAAGTCATTCTCATTCGAGTTTAAAATATCTGTATGAGGCTGTAAATCTAACTAATAGGTAGTGAAGTAGAGTTACAATTTGTATTTTTATTGTGTTTGATGTTCCAACTCTCCAGAAAAGCATTAAATATATATATTCCTAGTACAACCATCCAACGTCTCTTAAAGCTGTCTATTCGCTTTTCTTTCGTATTTCAGCTACACCTTAATTCGACATGATGAGTTATGGTTGACATACATTATCACAAGGAATTGTCATTGAGTGCCTAAGTACATCTTCTAACTCGGAATAGAAAACTTTGCTTCGTTTCATAAATTGATTCGAAAAAAGCTATATAAACGAGGGATTGACAGATGCAACATGTTTAATGCTTCTTCGACCTCTTTCTCTTCTTACGTGTGCCATCTCCTTCTCTGATATCAACCCTATCCTCATCAATAGCCTCCTTGGGCTGACTAGGTTGGACATCACCGCCAAACTTGAACACCGGCCCATTCTCATCACCGAAAGTGTCCTTACGCCACTCGCGAAGTCGGGCCTTCTTGCCAAGCTTCTTCTGATCGCGACGCTTCTGCTCTTCTTCGCGGAAGGTGGCCAGCTTTTTCAGACCAGCAAACTTGTTGAGCTGCGTGTCGTCTGCCATGAGGATATCCCGTGCGGTCAAGCCAAAGCTCTGCGGCGAGGTTTCGCGGTAGCGGAACTTTGTGGCATTTTTCTTGGTAGCTCCAGGAAGCAAGGTGATATCGAGATCCAGGTTGCGCTCAACCGCATCCTCAATGCGAAGACGGTCTTTGCGGGCCTCACGTTTTTTCATACGCTTCTCCTCAGCCTTGCTCTTCTTAGATCCGGAAGCTTCGCCGTCATCTTCATCTTCGGCTTCTGATAGTTCGAGTGTGGGCTGCGGTTCTTCATCCTCGTAGTCTGGGATCAAGTCGTTGATATCGATATCGTCATCCCATGTAGGCTTCTTAGGATGCTTCTTCTTCTTGCCTCCCTCATTTTCGCTGCCGTCACCCTCCTCCCCGGCATAATACTCCTCGCCAAACCGTTTTTGCATCTCTGCTTCCCAGTTTGAGTCGTCCCAGGAAGCGTCCAGGAAACGAGACCAGTCGTCGTCGGTAAATTGTGAGGCACGGAGTCCCGCAACCTCCTTGATCTGCTCCACCTTTTTCTGGAGTTCCTCAGTCTTCAATTTGCGAAGACGATTCTTCTCAGTTTCACGCTGCTTCTTCTCCTCATCCTTGAGTGCGCGCTCGGCCTCACGAATCTTCTTACGGGAGCTCTTTTCGTCGCGACGGACGGATTGCTTGTTGGTCAGATCACGAGAGTGAGTGACAATCACCTCGTTCATCTTGTTGGGGTCTTCGAAGCGGAAGTTGTATGCTTCTTCGATGGCGTCCGCCCGCTCAACATCGTCATCCGAATCCGAATCAAACGGATGCAGCTCTTGCTTGTCGGCGGGGATCCAGGCTCGTGCTGACAAGAAGTTGGATAGGAAAGTCTCAGGGTCTTTGTCCGCATTCTCGATATCGAGTTTGATTTCAGATTTGGGCAACGAGGCATCC